CGAGGGGGATTTAAATCCTTGCTTCATTTGCAATTGCGATGTATCTAATTTGCATCCCTTTTATGGAAAAGGGATGCAGTCTAGACACAGCCGGGCTTTATTGCTTGTGCAGACCTTAGAACGTATAAAGGGCTATATCCAGGAGAAATAATATTATGCATAAGGTCAGAAACATTTTTGACACCTGTGGGCTAGAGTCAGTAAAAGTCAGTTCAGCACTGGGTGGCCTGAGAACTCAATTTTCAGCACTGCTGTGCCTCAAAAGCCACATATTTGTAACAATTCTAATCCCTTAAAGTATTGCTTGTGCAGACCTTAGAACGTATAAAGGGCTATATCCAGGAGAAATAATATTATGCATAAGGTCAGAAACATTTTTGACACCTGTGGGCTAGAGTCAGTAAAAGTCAGTTCAGCACTGGGTGGCCTGAGAACTCAATTTTCAGCACTGCTGTGCCTCAAAAGCCACATATTTGTAACAATTCTAATCCCTTAAAGCAGCTGAGAGAGATTTAAAAAGCAATCCTAGAAACTGGAGCACTGAAAAGAGGCAGCATGATTTTCATCAGTTTTAAGGAAGATGAAATGTCCTCGTGCTACTTCCATAAGCAAAAGCATTAGACTGTGTTCCATCTTAATAGACAGAACTGTCTAGTACTGCAACTGTGGTGCCTCTGATTTACCAGAATTGGTCCCCCAGCAGCATCCCTGGTGAGACCTTTGTGATTAACACTGCAGAGATCTGTTAAGTTTCCTTCCACTTCATCTCAAGGACCATAAGCAATTTGTACTACTCATCCTGACCCTGAATATTGTAGTCAGCAAACAGCTCCTAACAGCACAGACTCAGGATGTGCTGTATGCTCCTGTGGCATAACTTCCTCAGTTACTGGCCTCAGCACCACCAGGGTCACCTCTTTGCCATTCATCTAGTGACTGGCTGGCTCTCCTGGGGCAGTAATTGTGATGGGCTCATTATACAGGTGCCATCCCTACTCAACAGATTGTCACACATCACTGTGGGCTCAGTGCTTGCTTCAGTTCCCAGTGTAGTAGAAAGAAAGTGCCCAAAGCCTGGGCCTAGTGTAAGGATTGAGGCCTGAACCAAAGTCAGCAAAACTTATATTATAAACAGGTACTGCCACGGGAGAGCTTCCATGGGCTGCTGGCAAGGTGTGAGTGGGGATGACTCTACACCCCCAGAAGGGGCATGGTCTTGGGCAGAAGGGGCAGGGCCATGACAGCTAGCCCTCCACTCTGCCTGGACCATGGCACTGGCCTCTTTCCAGCCCTCTCAGCTGCATGGAGTGGCACTCTGGAGCTCCAGCGGCAATTTTAAGGGCCTGGGGTAATTGCTCCCTGTGCTTCCCATCAATGGGCCTGCCTATGAGTAATGGTCAGGCCCTATCAAAAGCAGATGTTTGCCTTCAAGTCAATGTCCAGGAAAGAAACTCAGCGTTAGCATTGCTAGCACTGCTAAAACACATGGTAATGCATTCCAACATGACTGCTCCAGGACACCCTGTCAGCCAATGGTCAGGGCAGTGCGTGGTGTGTGTGTGTTATACACCCAAGTCTTCAACTGCTAGGACTGGGGTCCCTTCACAGCACGCAGCCTATGGAAGGCTGATGGGTTCCCCAAAGTTTGCAGGGAGAGCTTATTACACCTGAAACTTTAAATGCTAGGACACATGGTCCCTTCGCAGCGGGCAGCCTAGGGAATGCTGACAGATGCCCCACAGATCTGTCCCCTGGAGGCGACATGATCCAAACGCCCAGCTCTCACTGCATCTGCCCCTATGACCGGCCTGAGTTCTTTTAATTGTGTCTGGTTCTGTTACAGCAACAGGAGGAGTCAGGTTAAAGCTTACACAGTTAGGCTACGTCTACACTGGCCCCTTTTCCGGAAGGGGCATGGTAATTTCAGAGATCGTAATAGGGAAATCCGCGGGGGATTTAAATATCCCCCG